AAAAAAAAATTGAAAAAGAATTGAATAAAAAAAGAAAACATGAATCAGAAGCCTTAAAGTTATTCTCAGGTAATTTAAGATATAACATAATTAAAATATTTAAATTAGATACACGTGATTTTTAATTTTATTTATTGGTATCGTTTTAGTTGAAACACTGTCAGATAGGTCTTACTGACCTATCTCCTCCGAACTTACTGTTCGGAGGAGTTGAACAATGAAAACCTGATTTTAGAAGAACCTCAACCAGGTCCTTCTGGTACAAATAGAGGCACAATTCAATTAATTACACCTAGATTATCAGCTGCATTAGACAAATGCAAAATTAGCGACCGTGATGCCGTTCATATACTATCTGCGTGCCTTGATAGTTTATCCATCGATCAAAATAATTACATTTTAAATAGAACATCCATTAAAAATATTCGGCAACATTTTCGGAAGGAAAGCGCAGATAAGGTAAAGTCTGATTTTTTAAACAAAAAAGTTAATTTTGTGGTAGTTCACTGGGATGGTAAATTACTACCCGATTTGACTGGTCAAGACAAAGTAGATCGTCTACCAGTAATTATAACTAGTCCTGATTTAGAGCAGTTACTTGGTGTCCCTCAAATACCATCTGGAACAGGGCTAGAAATATCATCTGCAGTATATGATAACCTTGCAAAGTGGTCTTTATTGGACAAAGTTCAAGCATTTGTATTCGATACAACAGCATCGAATACTGGGCGTATAAACGGGGCTTGTACACTTTTAGAACAAAAGTTAGATAGGGATATTTTATATCTTGCATGCCGCCACCATGTTTACGAGTTGCTTCTCCAAACTGCAATTGCTGAAACGAAACTTCATGTATCATCAGGCCCAGATATTGCCCTATTTAAAAGATTTAAAAGTACTTGGAATAATATTAATACTAAGAATATTAGCATTTGGAATACAAATAAAAATTTGGAAAATATTGTATCTCCTAAACGCGAAAACATTTTATTATTTTGTCAGGAGGCGATTTTGAAAAAACATCCTAGAAATGACTATAAAGAGTTTTTAGAGCTTGTAATTATAATTCTAGGAGGATCACCACCAGGAGGTATAATTATTAGGCAACCTGGGGCTTATCATCAAGCAAGATGGATGACTAAAGGCATTTATTGTTTGAAAATTTTTTTACTTCAACAAGAATTCAAATTATCCAAGTCGGAAGAGACTGCAATATGCAGAATATGTGCATTTATTATAAAAATTTATATAAGGCCGTGGTCTATGGCTGACCAATCATGTGAAGCGCCACTAAACGATATGCACTTAATAAGGACTCTATATGAATATAAAAATGATGATAAAATTATTGCAGATTCGTGTTTAAAAAAATTTTTAAATCATTTGTGGTACTTTAATCAAGAATGTATTGTTTTTTCAATATTTGATAATAGAGTTTCGTTAGAAACCCGAAATAAAATGGCAAAAATTATTTTAAATAATTTATCTACTTACCCATCAGATCAAAGCGATTTTGGTCCAAAAAAATATTTTTTAAAAATAGATAATGTGGAGACGTTTCTGAAACAAGAGTTTTTTACAGATATGCTTGAACAAAGTTCGGGATATTTTTTTATAAGATTTAATATCGATACAGAATTTTTGAAATTAGACTCCTCGAATTGGGAAGGTGATAAGTATTACCAAGAAGCGAAAAAAATAGTTAAATCAATCCGTGTTGTAAATGACACTGCTGAAAGGGGTGTGAAATTGATGGAGGAGTTCAATGATAAACTAACGAAAAATGAAGCACAAAAACAATTTATACTTCAAGTAAATTGCAATAAAATATATAGAACGGATTGCTAAATTACTAATTTATACTTAACATGTTTTAGGTCGTTCAGAAATATCGAAAAGTTTTTCCAGATCACAAAAAAAAATCGATGACAGCAACATTCTAATTTAAATGTCAATTATGTAAAGAAAAACTAGTACTTTCATTGACACCTTAGTGTGCTTATTTATAAAATGCATTTTTTTAAACTTATATTATAGAGTATATTTTATAATCATTTTATGATTTATTTTTTATATATTATAATCAGTTGTCCCTGTAAACGTAAATACTTTTATAATTGTTTGATGTACCGAACTATTCAAATATTTTTTTGTTTTTGTCCTGGCGAGGAAAAAAATCAACCTACGAGAATTTGTAAAGATACAATTTATATAGAAAATATTAAGGTCTATAATTTTTATTCTATACAATTTTTCGTTTTGAGCTTTTGTTGTTGAGATATTAGCCGAAAACTAAAAAACCACCCTATTCAGTGGATTTTCAACCCTCATTCGGCACCCGAAGGGGGTAAGTAAATCTTACGAAACTCAACAAAAATCATTATTATCTAAAAATAAACAAAATTAGGGGGTGCCGCACAATTTATTATAAAGTTGAAAAATAAGGACCAGCCTAANACAAAAATCATTATTATCTAAAAATAAACAAAATTAGGGGGTGCCGCTATGTTTTGTTCAATTTTTTTTTTTAGCCTTAGTAGATAAAGACCAGCCTAATATATATATATATGTTCATTTTTGAAAAAATTATGGTAGTTTTAAGTAAAAAAAATTGAAAATTAGCGATTTTAAAATTTGTAATTTTTTTGGAGATTTCCACCATTTATGAGGAACGAGAGAAATTCTTTCAATTTTTGAGGGTAATATCTTAGATTAGACACGATTTGTGATTTTTTGACGTATATTTGAAAGAAATCGGTTCGGTGAGAGCTGAGAAAAACTGGTAACAGACACAAAAAAAAAGAACACATCATAGTAAAACCAATACATTTTCTGCTTCGCATCGAAGTTAAAATGGATATCTGGAAGTGTTGTTAGTAAAAATAATTATTTTAAATACAACCCATTATCACTTATTTCATAATAATTAAAAAGAAGCTTAATAATTATATCTTGTATGTAACTGTATACTATCTAATATAATTTTATTATAATATTTGATGTATATGATGATATAATATATGATGAATTTGTATTTTTAATTTTAACTCTACTTAATGTATAATTCTTTCAGATAGTATTGAATAATTCCAAAGCATTAGAGAAAGGATTTTTATACTCACTCTTGAAAAGTTTATTAGGCGAAGGCCTTTTAACAGCTCCAGGTAATTCCATAGATCTGTAATAGTATCAATTATATTTCATTAAGTAATATAATTGAAAAGTTTTAATTTGACATCCCATCAATATATTTTTAAAATGTTAATTCTTTATTAGCTATGTTAAAACATAGCTATTAGAGTATTAGAGTATTTACTGCATTATCTACAGTCTGGATGGCTCAGCTTCTTTAGACAACTTTAATAAGTTTTGATCCAGTTAATAGTTTATGCTGATTTTTAAAAATAATTAATATATTAATACTTTTGTTCTGTAACAATAATTATAAAATACTATATATATTAAAAATAAAAATGTTCGAGTAATCAAAAAAAAAATTAAAAAAAATATTTTTTAGAGTAAATTTTAAGAAATATTTAGGTAAAAACATATCTTACACTAAATAGACAAATTTCTGTAGCATTTTAAAATTTTTGAATTTTTTTATATTTTCTTTATGGTATCAAACGCTGGCTTACATATTAAAAATTAGTTGTAGATGTTAAATTTTTTTTATGAAATTTATCATTGCTTCCCCATTTTTTTTCCATTGTGACTTTTTTTTTTTAAATTTTTTTGGTTGAAATAATAACGGTTAGCAAAATCTCTAATTTTAATAGCGTTCATCCATTTTATGAAATTAATTTGTGATGTAAAAATTAATTTAAATTCAATGTGTGATATATCCAAACTAATAGTGGGGATATATATTCTAAAAATTTATTGAAGGTATTTATATATGTATACTCATTAGACAAATTGTTCAAACTACACCCATGTTGCGCTTATAATTTATAATATTTCAAAGTTTTTATTGAAATATAAACTAAGAAGATAATATTTTGTATTTCTTCATTTTGGTTATTTTAAACTTATTAATGAATGAAATAACTTTTTTTCAGTTGATAAGTGGAGAAAACATCGTCGCATAATATCGTATGCTTTCAATGTTAAATTTTTAGAAAAATTATACCCAGTTTTTAACGAAAAAAATAGAATACTCGTGAATGACCTGAAAAGTAAACTGACTTCTTCTGAGCCTTTTGATTTGTGGAATAATATAATCTCTACCACATTTGATACGATTTGTGGTAAGTTTTCAACTTTTTTATAACCTATAATTAATTCAAACACACTATTATTTTTGGTTTGCATTTTATTTTATTATTTTATAATATGAAGAGTATTATACCGCTTATATATATAAAATTTAAGTCATTTTGAATTGATAAAACAGCAGTTTTTACATTTAATTGTTGTAGTTTAATATGGTTTTATAAATCTAGTTTCTCAGCTACGTATCAAAGCTATTGGTTTTACTATTCTATGTTTTTTTTTGTGTCCGTATACGCGATTAATCCGCTTCTTCTGGGTGAATTTTGCTCAACAAAACAAAAAGACCACAAAATCAATCTAATTAAAGCTATCAGTGCCATAATTTTGAAATATTCCCCTCAGTCCCTCTTGCATATGTTGTTCCTTTATTTATTTAAAAGTCAAATCGATTTTCTGTTAAATTATCTTCTATTTTCCTTTCAATCCATTATTGTACTATTTGTTCAAATTTTTAACGCATGGCCGTAAGGCTTAATAATATTAACATATTTCGGGCTATTGATTCTTCGATATATGTATAATTATGCATTTTTCGAAGTCTTCAGGATCTTTAACTGTTCCATAGGCGATTGTTATTATATAACACATTTTTCCTTTCCAGTTCATTGTAAGGCTATCAGTAGTTCCTATAAAGTTATTACTTTCATTTGCCTCTTCTGTTCTTATACTCTATTTTGTATAACTATTTTATGTATTTCGACCAAACTATCATTTGTTCTCTATTTTTCAGGACAAATCTTTCATATTTTTCTCTAAGAACTTTTTCTACGCTTTTGTATGTTCCAAAAATTTATTTTATTATTTTATATGTTATATTACTTCAGCTTCTTGCTGAACAATTTTCTATAGACGAGTAAATTTCTTTCAGCCATTCCTCTTTTAGCTTCTCTGTTCACCATGCATTATCTGATATTTATATCTATTTTGAATGCTATTATTCTTTCGTAAAGTGAATAATACTCTTAATCTCATGGCTTAAAGTTTTGTTTGCTATTAGGACCATTCCGGCAATTTTGTTGTCATCACCAATAAATATAATTCTGTACTCTCCTGACCAATAATCAACTAGTCCTGTCAATTTAATATCGATAACACCCTGAGTATCAATTTATGGCGTTCTATTTCTAACTTAGTCTTTTTTAATAAGTTTTCAACTTTTATAAATACATTCAATTGAAATATTTCTACAATATGCTCACAAAATAATCGTTTAAATATTTGTTTATGTATATTTTGAGAATATATTAATATATTTATTCCTATAATGTGCTTAAATATATTATTTTAAATAATTGTTTACAAATATTATGAACATATATTAATTAGAATAAATATAAAATATTTAAATCGAAATAGTTGTAGAATATATTATCAATATAATTTTTTAAGTATTAAAAATATATGTCTTGTTACCCATTTGAGGTAACTAAAGAGAAGCAAGCTATCCCCTTGCCTCCCTTTAATTACACCATTGGATATTATTGATATCTAGTTATATAATACTTATGTGTTACCTATTATATAATTATTCCAAAACCATTAATAAGTAACTATTATTTTCTCTAATTAGTATAAATTTTTATTAACCTAATTCAATCAAGCTAGGCAAGTCAGAGATAATAAAAAAACTCTTTATGATATTATTTGCAGTCCTATGGAGGAAAAAAATGTTTAGTTTTATCAGCGCTTTTTTATCATCCAATAGTCATAGTAACCAATAGGTTAGTTGGTAATGTGCGTATCACTAGCATTCGAAGTACAAGGCCCGAATCCCGCTAAGCGGGTTGACTTTTTCTTTAATATATTCATAAAATATCATACAATATATTGTCAAAATATTTTTTTCATAATATTTTAGAAATATAACTTTAATATATTGTGAGAATGTAATATTCGCTGCCAAAGTATATTCTGAGAATATTTTTAAATATTTCAGTTTTTTCCATAATAAAGTATATTATATTAGCTTTAATGTAAGAAATATATAAAAGTGTCAGTAATTCTGGAACACTTTCAAAAGTTGTCATTTTGAATACCCTCCTGTAGGCAGGTAAAGGGTCAAATTTTTAAAATGATAGGCAAATATCTCACGTATGTATAAAAAAATTATTTAAAATTTCATCTTTGATAAAGTTATGGCAGTTTTAAGTAAAAAAAGCCAGTACAGGGGAGTCGTGGCACAGCGGTAAACATGAGGTGTTTCACAAAAAAATTTTAATTTTATATTTTCAAATGGCAACTCTATTTTTTCCACCATTAGATTTAGTTTAATAAAAAAAATATTTTGTAAAAAAAATATAAAGTGCTCTACAGTTCTCTAAAGTTTGAGGTTTATTAAGAAAAAATCATAACAGACTCGAACGTTAAAAATTGTAAATCGATAAGCTCTACCAGTTTAAAGTAATACACTTGTTGTCAAAGTAAATCTGTTGCTCTTATCGCTACATAAAATAATAATGTGACCGCGTTGCTAAATATTTTCTTTCTTACAACAAACAAAAGTTTACAAAAATAATATGGAATTGCTATTTAAAAATCTAAAGTTGAAACAAGTTATAAGTATAAANTAACAAACAAAATTTTACAAAAATAATATGGAATTGCTATATAAAAATCTAAAGTTGAAACAAGTTATAAGTATAAAGGATGTTAATGGAAATTTAATTTTTCTTGTGAAACAGCTCATCAAAGATCCATAATGATTAAAAAAAAGATTTGTTTCTTACACTTGTATTTTTAATGATATTTCGTGAGATATAGTAAGCCAATCACTCTGTATATCGAGCTTGCTGATTTTATTTAATATTTTGCCGACTAAGATAATTAAACAAGCTTTAATTTCCTAATTCTGTATGAGCTAGCCTTTTATTTTTAAATATTTAAAAATAGTTTATAACAATTATTTAAACTAAATTTGTTTAAAAATAACAACTAAAACTATAGACCAATTTAAAATATTTACAAATTCAGTGCATTTGTTAAATATAAATAACGTTAAGGCAGCAATTAAAAAAAATTAGTATATTATACAAAATATATTTTTTTTGTTAAATCTTGTTTACTTGTTCAAAATTTAAATTAATTATCATTTAATTAAAAAAAATTTGTCGTCTTTATATTAACAGTAAATTTGATTAATTTACTAAGGTTTTATTTTCAATGAGACTCGAAAGGGATTAACAACTCCACTCGATAAAATTTGATACTTTAAATTAATTTTAATATTTTAAATTAATAATAACATCAAAATGCATTAAAATAATTTTTAAAGACATTACGCGAGACATAGTTATTCAATCACCCTCCATATAATGTACATAGAAACATGTATATCTAATAGATTTAGTAGGTCGTTTAAAAGTAATTAGATATGTTACATTAATAAGATTTACATACAAAATTTGTAAATATGCAATAATACATAATACATTATTTAAAATAATAGATTATTATTACACACCGTAGACAGTACACTATAGTTATTGCTAAATATCATAAAAATAATGGAAATTAAAACAAAATACTAATCTAGATTATAATTTCTCATGATAATATTTTTATATAAGTACAAGTGTAATATTATGGTGAAAATTATGTATACTTTTAGCTTCGATGCGAAGCTGAGAAAGTATTGGTTTTACTAAGATGTGTTTTTTTTTTTTTTTTTTTTTTT